AATTTCACTACTGTAATGTAATTGCAGTAATGTTGATTTCAGTATTTTATTTTTGGAATTATGAGAAACATCTGGAATTGAACCTGAATAAATACAGTACAAGTGAAAGACTGCAGTGTTTTATTTAAAGTAGACGAGTGTGTTGCCGCAGATATGAGAGCGTATTGACATGTGGAAGTGGGCATCATTTAGTCATCAAAGTGAGGTTTTGACAAAGGATTCTTCAGTTTTGATGGCAGAGTTTGTATCTGGCATAGATGTGAATGGTTTATTTCCCAGTGTTCTTCCGTACTTCCTTGTGTGTGGAGTTTTGGCACCATGAGCCAAGTTTTGCAAAGTGTGTTCAAGCAATGGACTAAAACTGTAAACAAGGAAACACCGATGCGGGCCCGGCGGCAGCGGGGGAGTCACCGCCACGGCCGCGGCGGTGCCGCCCGCCCGATGTGTCGGACAGAGTTGAAATTTTGCGACACCCACACCTAACGTTCTTCTGATATGAAAATATTAAATTCGTATTGTATGCATACTTAACACTTGAATCGAAGTTCATAAAAAGGCTGCAATCATACTCCAAACAACGGTAAAAAAATCTTACATTCTTCATCATCACAGTGACACTCAAAAGGTGTAGAAGACAGTCCTGCCCCCGTGGTGTCCACAGGTGCCTGTGTGGCTGCAGTTATTGTCTCACTGCATCTGGACACGACGATTCAAAAGTAAAATTAATTGGTTAAAGTTATGAGATACTGTATTGTGTATGTAAACAGCTAGCGAGGGTCCGTCCGTGGACCGTGCGTGGCAGGAGAGGCAGTTAGCTACAATGCTAACGCAAAAAGTTCCTTTGCCAAATTTATAAAGTCTACATACCTCTGCTTTGGGCCCGTTTTTATTCTTCTTCCTTCCTTCGCTTTCGGAATGCTGATCCCGATGGCTTAGGTGTCCTTTTCATCGTAAAATATCAAAAGTTTAAATGCGACGACAACAGGATGTCCTTCTACAGTGCTACCCACACACGTTATCTACGGCACCCTTAACGGTCAAATGCGTCGGAGCGGTGGCCCAAGCGGGAGCTCGTCATGCAGCCAGATCATTAGAATTTAAATAATGATGTTTTAATTTAATGTCATTTCAGAGGGGAACTTTGAGTATGTAGAGAGTGCATTTCATGTAACAAACATAAATTTAATAAACTTTTTATTTTTTTTAAATTTTGCGCCCTATTCATCAGAAGGCGCCCCAGGAGGCCGCCTGTGTCGCCTGTCGGCAAAGCCGGCCCTGGTGGGAGGAGGCGGGACCGCAGCGTGAGAGTGACAGTGACTCTGAGCAGAGCGAAGCAGAGGACATCTGTGAGTAAATGCCTCATGCAGACTTTTGAAATGACTTTTGATTTGACATGTTAAGAGAAGTTCTTACAGTTTGACTACAGTGGGTTTTTTTTTGTTCAGTACCGTTTGTGTAAAGCACTTTGAGTTGGATTTTATTTGTTTGATTAAGTGCTATATAAATAACATTTGATTGATTTCCTTACAGAACCCCAAAAGCTTCATAACAGATTTTTGTGATTGCATTAATAGGTAAATATTAAAGTAGTCTGTAATTACGGTATTACAGTATTTACCAAAATTTTTCAAATATTAAATATTTTCTTTAAAAAGTGATTTTTGCCTTTTTCTTAAAATTAATCTCTTGGAAAGGGGGGATCGTCTTATAATAGGGTTAGGGTTAGGGTTAGCTGCGCCCTGTAACACGGTGCGTCCTATGGTCGTGAAAATACGGTACTCTATAAGGGCACATAAGGTGAGCAACACCACATATTATTATTGTTATTACTACTGTACACTGTCCTGGATTTGTTTTCTTTCTGCATCTCATCATTAGCCTGGCTGATCACCTGATAACTCCTGTCATCTGGTTATGACAGCATGAGGATGTCCTCACACACCTGTAACCTACCAGCTCATCTGGCAGAATAGAGAGAGGAGAGACAACACCACATCTCCTGTTCCTGGAAAGCCTTCAGCCTTCCTTCGATGACTGAGAACCTCCATCAGCTCTGTCTCCTGTCTGCCTACAATTATTATAATAAATATTGTGTTTGACAAGTTTTTTGTGCTGCCAAATATCTCATTTAGATTCCAGTTTTGATATTTTAATGGATATTTATAAATTACATTGATTATCACATTGTTGCATGTTTAACTAGCTCTATTGTGATTAAACTAGTACATCACTGTTAAAAGCTCGTTTTAATTTCAAGCATGTTTAAGTATTTATGGACATGAACAAAAACAGGAAATATATAAACTGAGATTTATTTAATTAATATAACAAATAAGGGGGAAAGAGTCATTGAAAGGCACATTCTTCTGGAAGCTCCTGATCCTGACGACACCAGCAGACGAGACCACCTGCAGACACCAGAGGATCACCTACGACCAAGAGAGCAGCTGGTATTAGTAAATAAATAATGAAATCAGGGCAGTTTTAGTGGGCTGAACACATTACAGAATAATTTTCTCATGGGGTATTTTCATAACTTTCTATGCAGCAGATTGTAACTTGAGCCCAGAGCTCCTGGAGAGCTGCTATCCGGCACGTTTCAGTGGTTTTCCTGCTTTAACAGGTTAGATTAGCTGTTAAGCAGCTCAGTTATTTGTTGCTGATTAAAACCAGGTGTGCTGAAGCAGATAAACCTCTAAAACATGCTGAATACTAGCTCTCTAGGGCCGTGGAGACAAACCCTGCAGCTAATCTAATGCTATGGCTAACGGCTACTTACCATTCAGAGCTGGTTATGTTGGGTCGGTTCCGCTAGTTTCAGGCAACTCACAAGCTCAAAACAATAAGACTCAGGTCCGCTTGTCTCCTCCAAATAGACTTGGTTCCTTTCTCCTCAAGTGTCTGGGTAAGGAGGGGTAGAAACGTCCTCCACTTCTAATGACTGCTCAGAGTGAAGGGAGATAGCTTTATCTCATTACCCAGTCATGATTTGAGGGTGAAGATGGTGGAGCAAGTGTGGTGGGGGGTTCAGGAGGCAGAAGAGCAGGCACGGATAAAGTAAAAATGGGTTTAATAACAACGGGAGCGACAGGACAAAACGAGACATGCACATACAATGATCCGACAAAGGACAGGAGCAAAACAGGTGGTATAAATACACAAGGCTAATTAGGAAACATGGTCAGGTTAACGAGGGACAGGTGAGAACAATACGGACTAATCAGGGCAGGAGAGAGACAGTCAGGAGGGCAGGGGCAGATCGTGACAGTACTCCCCCCTTAAGGGGCGGATACCAGATGCCCACAAGGCCATACAACACAGGAGACTGGGAACACTTGACTCGGGACGGGAACACTTGACTTGGCGGGGACAGGACTCGAAGACTTGACTTGACTGGAAACACTTGACTTGGCGGGGACAGGACTCGAAGACTTGACTTGACACGAAACACTTGACTTGGCGGGGACAGGACTCAAAGACTTGACTGGAAACACTTGACTTGGCGGGGACAGGACTCGAAGACTTGACCTGACTGGAAACAAACTGCAGCAGCAGGCGTGGGACCCAGCAGGAACTGCAGCAGCAGGCATAGGGCCCAGCAAGAACTGCAGCGTGAAGGGCCTGCAGGCATTGACCAACGAGTCGCTATATAAATCAGCCGCAGCGCCGCTACCTGCATATAAACCGTGTCGCGGACACCCCCATGTTGAAATGACGCTACGCATTACGGGGCTCCCAGGGGCAGATAAGAGTTGGTCTCTCTCCGAGAATAATTATGAATTTAACAACGATTACTGCCTGATGACATTTTCCCACATCTGCAAAGCTCACTGGAAGAACACAAACCGAGGACAATATTTTCCTGATATAGGGTTTATTACTCAAGTAAGGGTAAAAAAGTATCTGATTAGAAGGCTACTTGAGTACTGAGTATCATCTGGTCTAATATTTTTAAAATTATGACATCAAACAGACATAAAATAAGAGTTATGGGCAAATATTGGTATTTTAAAGACTAAAGGGGAAATATGTAAACAAATAAACAACATAATTACAAAATAACACATTTTAGGCTAAATTTAGACACAAACTGAGGACAATATTTCCTGACATACAGGGTTAATTTAATTGTGTGAAAATGTAGCACGTTTAAAAAAATATACCGCGATAATACCGAAAACCGTGATAATTTTGGTCACAATAACCGTGAGGTTAAATTTTCACACCGTGACAACCTTAATGCAAACCATTTTAGATTAGGTTGCATTTCCTTTATTCCCAGATTATGTAGTTTGTAGCACTCATTATAATGTTGTAGAACATTTCTGGCCAATCCACGTGATCGGTATCGGTGATCGGTATTGGTGATCAGAATTCTTTGATATCGGTATCGGTGATCGGCAACAAAAAACCTGATCGGTGCATCCCTACCAAAAACAGATGGTAGCTCACCACAGGTCCAGGTTGGTCGGATCATTGTGTCACGTTGTGCGGGTGGAGATGGTGGACCAAGTGTGGTGGAGGGTTCCAGGAGGCAGAAGAGCAGGCACGGATGAAATAAAAATGGATTTAATAGCAACGGGAGTGACAGGACAAAACGAGACGCACATACAATGATCCGACAAAGGACAGGAGCAAAACAGGTGGTATAAATACACAAGGCTAATTAGGAAACATGGGCAGGTTAACGAGGGACAGATGAGAACAATACAGACTAATCAGGGCAGGAGAGAGACAGTCAGGAGGGCAGGGGCAGATCGTGACATACCCATCCATCTTCGTCACTGCCGTGGCTCCGCCCTCTCGGTCTGCCAGGCAACGCCTACTAATGTTGCAGTTTTTAAAATTCATACGTGGGTGGAGAAGGACTCTGAGGCACGCTTGACCCGCTCTTTAAGAACCTCTCTTTGGAAATGATGCAGTTCTGTTTAGCTCTTAAAGCCATGGGCTGTGTCCGAATCCAGAGGAAGGATGCTTGTGAGTACGGGTCCTCGCCGGTC